GATTGTGTCCACGACAGTTATTGCGGCACCGGTAGCTGCAGATCCTCTAGCGCAGCAGCAACCCACGCCTGTTCGGAAACGCCCGCCGCCACCGCCGCATAAGAAGAAGCACAAGGGTCCCGGGCGCGGCCGGAAGAAGAAGATCGGTGTTGGTCCTCTTCCTCTGCCTTTGAAGCCTGGTGCTTCGACAAGTTCCGCGGGTGGTATAGAGGCGGCGGTAGACCCCAAACCGGAGACTGCTGCTGGACCAGACGTAAGTTTATCATAATTTACATCTGTAACTGTTGCACGCTGTATCGTTTGCTAACACTTCATAGGGGATCAAGCAGGAGGACACAGGTACTCCCGATGTTGAAATGGGCGAGAACTCTGCGGTCGCTTCTGACGACGAAGATGGTGACGACGACGAAGGCGACGAGGGCGAAGACGGTGTAGCGAACGACGAAGGCGGTGGCAACGAAGGCCTTGCTGATGATGCCATGGGCGACGCAACCGAACAGGGAACCCCTAATGATCATCAAGATCACGAAATGGAAGATGCAGATGAAAGGGTAGACATTGTTCGACCGAGCTCCATAGAGGAGCCAGTTGAGGACCGTCAATCAGCCGAGGCGGAGACAGAGGTCATCAGCACACAGCAAGAGCCTTCAAGCTCGCTAAACCTTGGCGCTCCCCATCTTGGCGTGGCACACCTTTTCTCTCCACGACAGCACGAAGGAAGTCCCCTCAAGAACGTCATTCTACAATCGCCTACCGAACCCAAGACCATGGATTTTCCAAGCATATCGACTGTTCAGGAAGATGCTAGTGGTGCATCGGAGCTCAGGCCAGCGACACAGGGAACTAGTCAAATGACGGAAACCCTTCAGCAAAGGAGTGAAACCACAGCTGCCGGCTTGGCGATGGTCGAGATGTCCGCGCAAACAACGAGCGTGGTCGTTGAATCTTCCACAGAGGACGTGACCACAGGAAGTGGCCAACCCGAGCATGCAACAGAGGCCGAAGACTTACCACAAAGCCTGGACCGCGGTACGGGTACATCAGTGGCGGAGGACGCTGATACATCCGAGAGGCTAGAAGTCACACACGAGTCTGGAGGCGATCGGCAAACCAAATCACAAATCAATACATCGTCATTCACCCAGCAATCATACCAGTCCACCTCGACGCACAGTCTGCTTCCCAGTCTCCGCGAACCACCCAGGATCCCCAATCAACAGTCTCTGCAACCTATGGCGCACAATCAGTCTGCTCCTGAGGAGGAAGGACTAGACTTGCTCGGCGGACTGGAGAGAGAACTAGACCGTCAGTCGAGAACGAGCAATGACACGCCAGCCGAGAATGCTGCGGGAGAGTAGAGAGAATGCCCTGGCCCAGATAGGCTGCCCGAGCTGGACAGTGGAAACAGCGGTACGATTTTGCAACACTTTACCCTTTGACGAGCAGTGCGGCAATCACTGCGTTTGGTATTGATAGAGATTAGCTTAGTTGGCAGGCATTGGGCTTGTTATGCCCTTCTATAACGCGCCGGATGGAGTTTCTCGGTTTTCCAGAGTTTAAAGGATATCCAATGGTCTAGAGGTTGCGCGGCACTTAGCAGAGAGCTAGCTTTTGCAAACAATCCAGTATGTGCTACACTCTCTCTCGACTTCAAAGCCTTCAAGATATAGATAGTGTTGCCCCCTTTCTTTCTTTCTTTCTTTCTTTCTGTTCTCTCTCTTTCCTGGTCGTTCCCAAAGATCACATATTGCTCCTTCCTTTCCCTCAACCCAGTTTCGGGAATCTCCCCGTTCTTTTGCTCTCATTCTTGTTATCTTGAACCAACGTCAGTGCTCAGCCCCCTTGGATTGAATAGCCGGCTCCTAAACCAACTTTCTCTCCTCTGAGCATCTTCAAACTGTCACATCTTAGTAGATGTGTCTAGTAATCCAACGGCCGAGGACCCCGGTCCGGACTCTGTGTGCGAGGCCTCCTCCAGGATAGGTACCAAAGACGTACAAAACTCGGACACATATCTTGGACCAGATAGCTGAGTTTTTGGCGCTCTGCGATGTCTAAATTATCGATTTGGCGCAACCGCGGCTACCGTGTAGCAAGGCCGTGTCCCGTCCCCAGATATGATTTCGGCTGGGTAGCTAAATACCTTGTCTAACTAGTTCCTACCAGCACATGAAGTACCAGACAACAACATGCCAACGCCATTGATGTGCCATGTCGACATTGAGTGCATATCGATCCCGGATGTCATGCAGATTCCTTGCATATGTTGCTGCGTGGAACCCACACCATCACGTTTCAGCCACGCACGAACCTACCTGTGCACTGCCATGAGATACCTGGCCGAAAGGAGCCACAACACCAGCAGGGAACTATGCTTCACGACGCTGGCCTACCGGAATCACTCCGGGTCATGTGCGAACGAGCGGGCCAGCCAAACCACGGGACGAGAGGGAAGGGTATCTTCGAACGCATGTGGTTCGCACTGCCGCCCGTACTCGAACGAGCTCCTAGAACCAGCTTTAGAGGGGGGTCGATCATGCTTATCACCGCCTCGCAAGGTAATTGCGACATGCAGCTGTTCCTGAGCCTTTCCGAGTGACCCCCATATGCCCTCAAGATCATCATTATGCAGATACACCCGTAGAGGTAGATGGTACAAGCGCAAACTCGCTACCGACGAGGCGAGGCCAACTTGCTATCGTCCTGTGTCCGCAGAAGGACTTACCTTCATGTCTGCAGAAAGAGAAAGAGATGAACACATCATGCTTCGGTCCGGTACCAATATCATGGGCTCTTGAGCCCTTCTCTGGCTTTACTACAAATTGGAACACATCCTGGAGCGAGACGCCTGGAAGAAACATCTTCGAGAAATCACTCTCCGCGAACATCGAAAGTTACTTCCAAACAGCGTGAGCTGGTAACCGCCACGAATGTCCGGGGTATACGCCTTTTGACAGCAAGCGAGTCAGAAGACGTCATATCGTACTGTCCCTGCTTGCGGCTGGAACAAAACTTTGGGAGGGCCGTTCGTCAATACGTCAGTTCCCTCCATGATAGTAAGCCCAGTACACTGTCACAATCTTGGTGACGACACTAATAGATGCCAGCTTTCGGTTGATTTCCAGAGACTCCGAACGAAGCCAGCATACTCGACAGATTCCTGCAGTCACCGTGCTCGTTGAGTCTAGAACCTTGTACTATCTGGCATCCATCGTGTCAGAGAGGCTCTTTCGTCACTACCTTCGTTGATCATACGGCCTCACCAACCCTCGGTCGCACAAGCCAGGCAACCGATCCCAAGACTGCCATCGTTCATACCAACCCCTTGTCCAAAACGAGGGGGCATAGCTCGAAGCTTTCTTCGGGGGTTTACTCGTACTCCATATCTGACGCAGACTGTCTCTCATCATCATGGCAAACTCAACTGGCCAATATCAAGTACCTTCGGACATCACATCCATGTCGATGAAGTACTGCGATCACCATCGCACACATCACTGTACCGAACTGGTCGCCGCTACCAAATCGCTCTGTGACGGCTGTCAGGCTGGGACGAATTGTCCTTAAGAAACCGATATCTACCTAATCTCCCTGCTGGAGACACCAGCAACTCGCAAACCGGCAAGAGTTCGCACTCCGGATGCGAGTAGTGCGTCGAAGGGCTTGTCACTCTTCATCTCCTCAGCTCATCGCCGAGTCGTTTTTTCATCTTCCACCTCAGTTGTATAACGAGGTCAAGAGCATGGCAATTTGGAGGTTCGAGTGCTTTTGAGGCTTCTGGAGACCAGCTCAGCAGATCCAGAGAAGGCGCACACCAAGTCGACCACAACAGCAACGCTCACACGCACAAGCTTGGCCTCCGACGGTACTGACAACCTCAAGTTCTTCCACAACTCATTGTTTATTCGTCCTTGTATAAATTGCATCAATATGTAGTCCTATAGCTAGTGTATTAGTATGTTCAACGTCGGCGGTTGCTAGCTAGGTGTCTCGAAGTCCTTAGCTTATGGCCGAGAAGCAAGGATATATCACCTAAAAAAGCATCTGTAGCCTGAATAGACCTAAAAGCATAAGACAGAAAGAAGTATTCCGGACATAATAAAAAGTAGTCGAAAGAAGCAAGAAAAGAAAAAAAAAGGAAGCCCCCAGCTGGGGCTCGAACTATCGATGTTGGCAGGACTTGCACCTGCAATTTCCGGCTGTATCCTGCTCTGCAGTAGGAGTCCGGCGGGTTACTATTACCCTACAACACCGCTCATTTCAACTGAGCTATGGGGCTCTGTTTGTTGAGAAGAGAACGGTGAATTACTCGTCATATGGTTGCTCGCAGATCAGTGAGGCTCAGTGCAGTGGATGTCCGTCGGGATGCAGCATGTCCCTTCATCTGAGCCATGTGACAAGTCTGATTCAGCCCTATGCAAGCTGCCTCAACACTGCGCAGGCTCGCAAGCTTAAACTTACCAGCATCCAGGATGATACGTACGCTCTGCCGATCGATGACATCGTCCCATTTGAGCTTTGAACAGCGGTGAAGATCTGCTGGTACCTAGATAGATACTCAAGAGTTAAAGTCTATAACCGGATCCGAAACGGACATCAAGGCAAAAACGTGGGCAAAAATACCAGCAAAAGCACAACGAAGAAGATATCGATCGAATCCCAGATGGCAAGTGTTCGCCATCCAAGCCCTTGCCAATGCCTAACTGCAGTCTTGACCCTAGGTCGTCAAACTAGCGACAACGGCAAGCCAGATATGCCTGTATTTGAAGTCAGGGCAAAATCTCTTGCCAGACCCCAGGATTTCAACGCAACCCGAAGGTCCCATCCTCGCTCGAAATACGCCCACAAAGAAATCAGAAGATCACCCCTTTCCACTCGCAAAGGAGGGAAACGTCAAACTGACAGGCTACCTTACCACAGGTGCAAAAAAAGAATATGTGACATTTAACCCCCGCCGGGATCTGGTGAAGAAGTTAGCTCAAATAACTCGAAGAAGATCGCGCCCACGCGTACTCGAACCCGGGTCTTCAGCCTGGCTCGGCGTGTAGATGCCGGAGAGCTGCGGCCTAACCACTGGCCCACGAGGGCTTCATTTCGTTACCATGGGCGAGTGTTAAACTGACCTCTATAGGACCATGAGATGGCGCAGGTGATCCGCTATAATATGCGGCTCCTGCTGCGGATGAAGACTGTTGTTTGCGTGTGACCATAATGGCATGAGCAAACAACGACCTGAGGCCGCGAGGGAAGGAGCGGCCGGCCACAGTTTCACCAAAATTCCAGCATAAGAGACGTGGACAGCCCTTGCCATCCAGAGTGCCAAAAGAACCCAACGCCTTGCCCGAGCAGAGCGCTTTCACATCTTCAAGGATCTTCCCCCTCGATCAAGAGATCAACCGTGCCCAGGAGAAGTCCACTGCCATCGATCCTGTACGAGAAACAGGCACAGGAGACATTGACGACGAGGCACCCAACGCACCGCTGCAGAGAAATCTTTGAATGAGCTGCACTTGCCAGCAATGAGGGTCGAACTGTTTCGCATCTCTGTTCGAGCACACAGCAAGATCTGACCTTTGACATCACCGGACCAGACGAGATGTCAACCCAGATCAGCTTCCGACCATTGAAGCCAGAAGAGATTGTCAAGTCACATAGCAAAGTGTAGACCGTAAACCAGACTTCGTCAGACTGGTCGCTCTTCCAGCCGACACGACCTCATCGTCCTCGTGCTCATCAAGCGACAGGGCATTGACTCCGAACAAAGAAACCCGACGTCGACCACTGCCGACTTCACTTCATCCGAATGACAAACAAGGATGTCTAAGAGGCAGTAACAGGCCCCTATCAATGCACAACGACAGAGTGCCCGAGTTTTGCACTTGACGAAACCGGTGACCCAAGGCTGCTTGGCTTGGAAGTATGGCCTGGAAACCGGATATTTTCTTTGGAGATCGCGGGGTACTTCCACCACGTTCGTTGTTCATCGGGATGTTTTTGGTTACGACTGCATCCCGATAGCCTGACTGCGACAGCTTATCGGACAGGAAAGAGCCTTGAGGGACCAGAAGGATAGAGGCCAAGAGATAACGCTGGAGCAGTTGGGTCTTCGTCCTTCCCCGCAGGCTTGGGCGATGCTAATGCTCCGGTTTCGGTTGGCGTAAAGTCAGACCAATTGGTCAAGAAGCAGTTGGACTCTCCAGAGCTCAACTATCAGCAGTTGGCCGCGGCGAAACAATAAGTCATGACGGCGGTGACGCAGTGAAGACTTCCGAGAGCAGAGCATAGGAGCCGGAATCGTGGCACCGAGAGATAGGAAATCCCCGGATCTACTCCAGCCTACGCGATGTTACTTAAGCTACATTAGCAACGACGTCCTTGGCGGCGGTCTTAAGCCCTGAGATTACGACAAACTCGAAGGAGATCTTACTGTTTTCAAGGCACAAAGCGACCGGCTGCAATACCGTATGCCCGGGTTAGGAGCGGACCGGAGAATTTCAAAATCGTCCGGAATGGAGACTGGAGCTGGATGAGGGCATATAAGAGCGTCATGAGTCCGTGGTATTGACCACCCAGCTTCTTGATCAACAACCGTGAACGATCCTCAAAATGGCGGGCCTCAACTCAGTGCGACGACTTTCTGTTCGAGCCCTACTACTGCTCGGGCTTGCAGCTTCATCGACGTCTGCCACAGCCCTGCCTTCCAACTTCTTCGACGCCCGGGAAGCAACAGTCGAAGGCATCCATAACGCGCTCTTCAATGGCCTCACAACATGCCGTGCCGTAGTCTCGGCCTTCATCGCTCGCATCGAGGAGTTCAACCCGGTCGTGAACGCCATCATCGCCTTGAACCCGGATGCTCTCTCCATAGCGGACGACATGGACCTGCAGCTCGCTGCTGGTAACGTTACGGCGCCTCTGTTCTGCATCCCCATCCTGCTCAAGGATAACTACGATGCTGTCGGCATGAACACGACAGGCGGCAGTCTGGGCTTGGCCGGAGCCCGACCAACAGCTGATTCACCTGCGGCGGCAGCGTTCAAGAAGGCCGGCGCCATCATCCTGGGCAAGGCTAACCTCCACGAGATCGCTCTGGAAGGTCTCTCCGTGTCATCACTGGGCGGACAGACTGTCAACCCGTACGACCACACCCGCACACCAGGAGGAAGTTCCGGTGGCTCGGGCGCAGCCATTGGCACCAGCTTCGCCGTCTTCGCCACAGGAACCGACACGGTCAACAGTCTGCGCAGTCCCGCCAGCGCAAACTCGCTCTTCAGCTTCCGGCCAACGCGCGGTTTGATCACCCGTACCGGCGTCATCCCCATCAGCTACACCCAAGACACCCTCGGCGCCATGGCCCGCAACCTCAAGGACCTGGCCGCCGCCCTCACCGTCATGGCAAGCATCGGCTACGACCCCCGAGACAACCACACCGCGCTCGCGCCCCCCGAGGCCTGGGGCAAAGACTACTCAGCCGCTCTGTACGGCGGCAGCCTCAAGGGTCTCCGCATCGGCATCCTCGAAGGCTTCTTCAACAACACCCCCTCAGCCGAGACCACGCCCGTAATCAACGTCATGGCCGACGTCCTCTCCTCCCTCGCCTCTGCCGGCGTAGAGCTAGTCAACATCACCGAACCAGTCTACAACGCCGCAGCAATCAGCGCCCAGCTCGACGTCCAAACAAGCGAGTACCGCGAGCTCCTAAACGCCTACCTCTCCAACCCGGAGCTGCAAGGCGACCACCCAAGAACCTTCAACGAGCTCTACACCAGCGGCAAGTTCCTCGTCATCCCGTCGCAGTACGCCTACGTCAACGCCGCCTTCGTCTCCTCGACAGCCAACGCGAGCTACATCGCCAAGCAGCGCGGCATCACCAACCTGACCACCGCCCTGCGCGCGACCTTCGCCTCCAACGACCTCGACGCAATCATCTACCCGGAGCAGAAGAACCTCGTCGTCAAGATCGGCTCCCCCTCCCAGTCCGGCCGCAACGGCATCCTCGCCGCCCTGACGGGCAGCCCCGTGCTCGCGGTGCCGGCGGGCTTCTCGCCCCCCTCCGCGGACGCGCCGGTGGGCGTGCCGATCGGCCTGGAGATTCTGGGGAGGCCGTTTAGCGAGGCGAAGCTGCTCAATATCGCGCGGCACGTCAGCGAGGCGCTCGCGCCCGTGCGGAAGATGCCGGCTTTTGCGAACTATAGTGTTGAGACGAGGGAGTACGAGACGGTGCCGGTTGTGAAGCCGAACAGTGGGAATATTAACGCTGCGTATCCGCTTGGGAGGTTGTCGTAGAGTAGGATCGTTGGGATGAGGTTGCGATACCATGCATCTTGAGATGATCGAACATATGGAATGCGATGAAGCATAGTATACCAATTATAAAAAATGACTTCCGGATATGTATAACTCCAACATACCGAAATAATGCCAAACCTCCATCAGTACAGTAGCTCCCGAACGCCAGTGAAACCCCATTGCATGTGCTGATAGTACTTGTTATTAGGGAAGCGAACAAACATAACTGATTACTGTCCAACCCTTCTTAGGAACCGCCATACCGTGGACCAGGTGACGTATGCGGAACATATGTCGCTTGTGGTGGGTATGCCGGATACTCTGTCGTCACCGGAGAAACCGGAGGATGATAGGCGGCCTGGTAGGCTGGTACTGGCGTGGGCGCTGAGGACAGCACCGATGGCTCGTACGTGGAAGAGATTGAAGGCGCATACGCGGCAGACATGCCCATGGAGGCATAGTAGCTCTGCGCCTCGCCCCCGGTCGATGTGGTCGTTGCATGCGGGCTTGTCGAGGTAGTAGCAGTTGCCGTGGTGCTGCTGCTATATGGAGGCGGCGATGCAAGCGCCCCGAACGTTGAAGGGGCAACAGCCGGAATGCCTGCTATGGCTGGGACAGGGCTATTCAGCGGACTCGGCGCGATGCTGGCACCGGTGTAGCCCATCGGCTCGTACTTGCTCTCGGCAGGAGCGTACCCGGCACCGCCCGCGCCGTAGGCGGTCGGAGTATCTGTAACAGCTGGCGTCGTCGAGGCACCGTACCAGGCGCCGCCACCCTGCTGGCCGTCTTCGTCGATCTTGGCGTATGTGCCTGACTTGGTACCGTTTTTCTTGTGCCGGCTTCTACCGCAGCAGCACTTCCAGATCTTTATGGCTAGCCAGATGAAGAAGGCGACCTTAACTGCGTTCCATAATGCGTGTTTGATACGCGGACTGTGGCCTTCTTTCTTGCTCCGCTTGCGCTCTGTAGACGTGGTCAGTCACGGCAAAAAAAAAAGGCGACTTCTAACATGAATAACAGAGGCCGAAGCAGGGCACGTTGATGTGGATGTGTCCATCGCGATACTGACCTTTTAGACAGTAATATAGCAGTGCGCAAAGAAACAACGTCAGAATCAGTGAAGCCCAGATAATCAGGACCACAGCCCAGGTAGGGAGGCTTCCAATGTAGCCGCTGCCACCATGGTAGTTGTTATAGCTGCTGCCACCGCCGACTACGACAACAGTGGTGCCGCCGCCGCTCGAAGACGACCCGGACCCGGACTTCGAAGACGAACCGCCGGATGATGAGCTGCCCGATCCCGATTTGCCCTTCCCGCCCTTGGAACCAGAAGACTTGCTGGAGCCGCCAGACTTGCCTCCGCCACCCCTTGGACTCCGGGTTTCGAGGGGAAAGTACTCCTCGATCAATCGCAGCGAGTCCATTTCGCGTGTAACTGATAATACGGAAAACACGAAAGCAGCTCGCTACCACTCGTTCAAGACTTGTAGAAAAGAGAGGCCGCGATGCGCGACCCGCCACAAGCAGATAAACCCTAGGCTTACTGAAGCTTTCACAGAGGAAGTCGCGTCGTCTTACCATCCGGTGAGGCAGCCCTCACGATCCTCGTGCGAGGCCGAAGGATTCTTGGCGCGAAGCATGCAAGCAATGCGGCTGAGAACCCCCTTGTCGGGCAATCTCGCGGTGGTGGCCGCGCCACATCAGCTATTGGATTGCAGGAGCTGCAAAGTGCCTTGCGCTTCTTAGCCTATCACAACGTTGGGCGACGTTGGACAACGGGCCACTGAGAGATATCTCTA